GGACCAAATATCCGACTAATATACCGATGAAGAATGAGATGATATACTGATTGATTCCCATATGAAAGGCTACGAATGCTTTAGTCATCTCTTCGAGGGAACTAATGCCCAATGGATCCAAATATGTTTTTTGGCCGAACAGATGCTTCGGTGATATACTGGCATAACATCCAAACATTATTATAGCTAGTGTTAAACTCACACCTAATTTGGGTGATTTGTATAGCATTAGCACAATAAACGGTGCGATCACTTGTAGTTGGAATAGAGCTGATAGGAACCATGTGGGAGGGTTGCACTTCATCACAATTAAATTAATTATACAATTATTTTATGATTAACATTTGCCAAAATTACCACGTAAAATACCAAAAATATCAATATATTTAGATGTACTAGAATTGTTGTTAATAAAAGAACAATTAATATGGTTGGCTTACAATTGCAAATCCGGGCCCGAAGTCAAATACATTGTGATCCGATTGAATGCGATAATTACTAAAATAAAAGAAACTTGATAATAGACTATAGTTGTCTTGACAAGAAGGCATTATCAGATTAATGCCGTAATTCCATATTGGCCCATCACCTATCAGGGGCAGCAACCAAAATAATAACACCACAATAAACATGGGAACTGAGTATTTAAGCCAAAGTCTAATCAAATAGGTAAAATAATTGAATTTGCCATTCGTTTTAATTAGTCTCCCATATAAGCCGTATGAGACTAAAAGTCCGCTATTTTGTAAATAAATAAACAATTAAATCAATAAAACAATAACTATTAATACAAACCTAATTATAAACATGGTATCAATAATCAAAATATTTCTGGCGAAAAAGTATTTATTATAGTAATAGACTTTCGTTATAACGGAGTTCAGTATACGCCTGAAGGCAATGGTACTCATGAAAGGAGTGAATAAATACATGTGATCCACGCATACGTTAATTATCAATAGGAAACGTATGGCATCGATGCACACAAAGCGTTTGGATCCCGAATCGGCGAACAATAACTTTATGTTTGACATCAATGAAAAACAAGACACGATCTTCTCAAACAACGAACGACGTTAATTATCAATAGGAAACGTATGGCATCGATGCACACAAAGCGTTTGGATCCCGAATCGGCGAACAATAACTTTATGTTTGACATCAATGAAAAACAAGACACGATCTTCTCAAACAACGAACGCTGTCTATTTGAATGGCCGGTTGAATGGGTTGGCATCTTATTATTATTATTATTATTATTATTATCCAACTTATTATTAATCTTATTAATTGTCACAACATTAGTGTTGATTCTTTTCTCTCCTTTCTGTTCACCCATACATTTATAGCATTTAACTATAATTTCCATTATATTACATATTATCGACACTAATATTATTGAAACCAAAATTATTCTAAAATAAAAGACAAATATAGAACAAAAACCAAAATTATAAACTAAATAATAGAAAATGTAGCAATACAATACATGGCCATTTTCTGAAAATTATCAAGATTCTTTGGTTCATTTTTGACGTAACAATCGGGCATCAATTCTATGGGCATATGTGTTATCGGATAAATCACTAAAATTAAACCACAATATTAAATTGATGGTAAAATACAGTATGTATATAGCTAACAAATGCAAATGATTATTAAATGTTTAAATTAGTTCACCAGTATTGAGAATGTTTTCAATATCTTGCGGTCGACACACTGATGGTATACATGTGCCAAACCGGAAAGTGGCCCCCTTTTGGTTATTTAATATCTCAATGAGTTTGAAAACTGTTAAATACTGATCCATATTATAATTCTTGAGAAATGCGACCAATTTATCAAAATAAATCTTATTTGAAATATTTTTATTTGCCCTCTTATCTAATGGCTGTTTCTTAGGATAAGGCAATATAATTTTGGCCAAACAGTACTGTCCCCTAATAAGCGATTGGGTCGACAGTGTGTCCGCATTGACAGGACTTTCAATGCCCAGACATTCGTCAAATTCGCCGAAATGAGATACCGTTCCTTCCATTATACCCGTAGGTATTCGTCCCATTGAATCGATAACTGAAATCATTTATTTGATCATTTCATTTTTTAATTCATATTGTTACAAATTGTTGGTTCATTTCCTTTTAATTGTACTGAATTTACAATTAATTTATAATATTATATTTCACACAACATTTAGTTAAGCTATAAAATAATAAATTAAATAAATATTTCTAATCCCATGATTTATGATAATTATTAAATAACTACAAAATGATTAGTCATAAACTAGATAAAATATTGTTAAGAATCGGTGTATGTTTACAAGTACACATAAAATAAAAATATTGTATTAAATAATTTGTTGAGCTGTGACGGGATTTAATAATATTGTAACTAATTAATATAACTCACACTTAATGGCCCACAATTCCTCACGTCTGATACCATTGACCACTTCTATTAATGATAGCAAACAATCGGACGGAATATCAATACTAAAGAAAATTTCTGCCAATTGTGTCAACTGTTTAACGCTTAACAGGTCTTTAGATAAATCGGAGACAATCTTAGAAAGTCTGTTGATTGTGTCCAATGTTTTATTCACATTATTTACATTCTTCATAACAACCAGATCTCTATTCTCATTGTATATATCAAGTAATTTATCAAAAATATTATTATTAGCACAATTTGCTTCATTATAACCACTATTATTAGTTTCATATTCATAATAGTCGTCGTCGTCTTCAGTGGTAGGCTCTGGACTATTAGTCGTATCGGTTATGATCTCATCAACGGTGACAACAGAATCGTTCAAATAATAGTCAACAGAATATTCTGTGGTATCAATCTTTGCATTATTTATGTTTAATCCTTTCGCTCGACAATAGTTTGCAGTAATAAGACAACAGAATATCAGTAAATGAATATAAATTGCGATATATTTTGTGCACATCATTACAATTATTGGCAAAAAACTTGATGTTAACAATCATTTATAAATTTAGTAAAAAATATAAACTAAGACTAAAACACAATAGAATTGGAGTTAAGTTACATTTACTGGTTTCTAAACTTCTGAACAATACCTATGGTCACTTTAAAAAAACATTCATTAAAAATAATTTTTAAACAGTTTTAATACAAATATTGTTTTAATAATAGCATCAGATCTTAGAAATGAATTTTTGTAAAAATAATATTCCCTTCGTTTAAGATTAGATAAAAGACATGTAATCTGTGGTTAACTTTCGTTGCGATTATAAATCTAACAAAATATAAGTTATATGTTATTCTTGTTAATGAATTTATAATTATATTTATTGATCATAAGAATGCAAAAACAAAACTCACATCAACTCAAGGGTTGTTTATTAGAAAAACATAAAACCACTCTATTTTAGTCCATAAACAAGTGTGTTAATTGTTTTTCATTCCCGAAATAACAAACATTTTTGTCTTAACTCTAAATTTCAAACATTTATTCAAAATTTTCAATTCATTCATTAGAAAACTAATATTCACTAAAATCTATAAAATTCAATATTTATTCAAATATTGTTATTCCAAGATTGGCGAGAATACATGAAACAAGGCCAAACAGTCTGGCACAAATATAACAGCTTTGTCAAAACCTAATCACCAATATTCACTAAAATCTATAAAATTCAATATTTATTCAAATATTGTTATTCCAAGATTGGCGAGAATACATGAAACAAGGCCAAACAGTCTGGCACAAATATAACAGCTTTGTCAAAACCTAATCACCTTGAATCAAGGTCCTTGATCAATGATCATCAAAATTAGTGACATCTCAATTAATATGCAGTGAATGCAAAATTGTCAAAAACTTATGCCATTATCGCAACGTTTTATACGTACGAACCATACAAACAGGTGTTTTCATAGCAACAAATACCTGTACCCAATCAGTACAGTCTACTCACAATATAATAACACCAATGAAGCAAATCATAAGTTGTATAATCATTACGATTTGATCATTATAATGGCATTATTAGAATGATAAAATTACAAACTTACCTATGTCATGGTAGCATGAAGAATATAATGCGCTAATTATATCAAACCATTGTTGATGTGGTGTCACTATTAATGACAGCATTGAAGTGATGTAAAGCTCACGTCACGTGATTTGTAGGCGATTTCTATCCACTATTTATGTCCACATATTATATGCTTTCAAAACAATCAAAAGAGTTGTCATTTGTTTTGTATTTATTTATGCATTAATTAGTTGTCATTTAATTGTGTTTTGTGTCAATCATCGCAACAATTAGTTGTTAATTATATTATAAATCAAAGCAATCGTTATTTGATGACTAAATCATAACATTTATTACAACACTTCTAATAACAATACAATCACAACAACCAGTGTTTGCAATGGAGTTAATCCGTACGCCAAAGGTATTGGCATTTTGCATACACTTATAGTTATAGTGAATACCGAACTTATAATCAACACATTATTCAACTAATTATATTCACAGAGAGAGAGAGAGAGAGAGAGAGAGAGAGAGAGAGAGAGAGCGATAATATGTGTCTTAAGTGTTACATATGTTTTACAGATAAATGAATGCCTTTGAATGAATGTGCCTAATGTAATGATGTATAACTAAATGCATAATGTACTAATGTGTGCTGACCTAGGTGGAAAACGTGCGAATGCTATACCGCTACGCGGCTCAGACGGGGGGCACGAGTGTCGGTGGGACGCCGTCGGGAACGCTATATCTGACGGCAACGCATCTCATATTCGTCGACCACAACGTGAAGCGCGAGAATTGGATTCTTCACACATTGATCTCATCGATCGAGAAGTTGTCGATCACTACAACGGGTTCACCGCTTCTCATGCGATGCAAACACTTCCTGTGCGTCACTTTCG